GGTTTTAGGGTTTAGGGGTTAGGGAAAAAGCAGCTGTCGCGAAGGCTCCCAGGTTCCAACCCCCCGCATTTCCCGCACGCAATGGACCCAGCTGGGAGTTTCCGATCATTTGGGGTACCTTATTTAGGGGTCCTTATAATAAGGATCCTACTATGTAGGGTACTATATTAGGGTCCCCCATGTACGGAAACTCACAGCACGATTTTCGGTAATGCGCAAGTGCGCAAGTAAGCACACGCTGCTCTGCCCGCTCCATCAGACTTTGCGCTATAGCCTTTGCTTGGCCTTCGGCCTCCACCGACGGTTGAGCACATCTCATGCTGGCGCTTTCTTCGCTCGACGATGCGCGCACGCAGCGCGAGCAAGGAAACCAATCAGCATCGTCCGCCGGATCACTTGGGACGCAGCCGGATTTTGCCCATAAAAGCTTCAGATTTAAAACCGGGCCAGCTCTGATTGGCTGACTCATGTGCCACAGTTGTCACTATATAGTGGGCGTAGTTGCCTATTTCCGATACTCACAGCGCTTGCAGTACGCCTCTTCGTTGTAGTCAAGAGGGGTAAGCCTACCGGACACCATTCAATATTAAATCGTCTGCCGGAGCACTTGAGCTTCAGTGGGCTGCTACACCGGCACTTTACATAGTCCACTCATATCTAGGCATCAACATGTCTGTAAAGTGATAAGAACTGGGCCAGCTCAGTTTCTGGGCCCGTCCAACGGTTCATGTGCTGAGCTGGCGCTGGCTAGCCAGCATGGTCCCATCGATGTCGGAAACCTGCAGATCTTCGGTAATGCGCCACGCTGCACGGCAGTATTAGGGTTTAGGGTTTAGGGTTTAGGGTGCTCCATCAGACTTTGCGCTATGGCGTGCGTGCTTGGCCTTCAGCCTCGAACGAGGGCTGAGCCAGGAAAGGAAGAAAAGAGGCAAGCGCAGTCGCACCCAGAAAATCCAATACCCCTTAGTTAAGGAGAATTAAGAGATATACTTTAGGATTATATTCGGAACCCTTAAAATGATTTACAGGTATATTGCTGAAAGAAGGGGTGTTGGAGTCTCTGCGTAGGAAGAGGAAGACGTCTGAGGAGTGCAGCAGACTCATGAATTTCATGCTTGGATTACAAGCGGGCCGGTAAGCTCCGGGCCCCGCAAACGGCTCATGTGCGGCCTGCACGTCCACGCCAGCGATGTCGGTAGGGAGGAGCATCGCAGGACACATGCACGTTGAAGCTCGTCTCCGCCGAGCCGGCGTCGTTGGAGACAGTGCACGTGACTTGGGTCTTGCCCAGCCGGAAGAGGGATCCCGAGGCTGGAAAGCACTCCGCGCCGGCTCCACAGCCGCCAGTTGACGGCACCGCGAATTTAACCCGCATGGCCCGGCAGTATGGGCTGTGCACTTCGACGTCGGAACTCGGGCCGAAGCTGGGCGGCTCCACGCCTTTTGAGACCGTGACCTCGAAGTTCTCGGTGGCAGCGTTGCCCGACGCATCCGTTGCTGTGCACTGCACCCTGGTGCTGCCAACCGGGAACAGACTTAGGGACGGAGGGCTGCAGCTGACGTGGAGAGACCCGCATCCGTCGGTCGCCACAGCCTCAAAGCTGACCTGGGCAAAGTCGCCGCAGCCGGCATCCGCCGTCTTGTTCTCAAGGGTTGCGTTGAAGGCCGGCGGCGTGGTGTCGCCAGTGACCGTCACTTGAAAAGTCATCGGAGTTGCGGCGTTGCCCGCGGAATCCTGTGCCGTGCAGGTGACATTTGTGCTGCCCACGGGAAAGAGGCAGCCGGATGGAGGGACGCAAGTGGGTGTAACAGGGCCATCACAGGCATCAGACGCCTCCACGACAAAGGATACCTGGGCCGTCACCCCACACGTCGTCACATCATTGATGTCAGCAAGCTCAGCGATCACAGGCGCAACGTTGTCCCCGCCGGTCACGGTCACGTCAAAGTTGACCTTGGCGGTGTTTCCCGAAGGATCTGCTGCCGTGCATTCCACGGCAGTGCTTCCAAGCTGAAACGAAGATCCAGAGGTAGGGATGCAGAGGACACTGACTGGTTGGCAGTCGTCGGTGGACGTTGCGTTAAACATGACTTCGGCGCTGTCCCCACAGTTGCCCGCGTCACCAGTGGGATTGGTGGGTGCTATCAATCCAGGCGGTGTATCATCACCTGAGCTATAACCTATACTCCTATTATCCCTCTTAATATCCCCATAACAGTCCCCTATGTAATCCCCTATATAACCCCCATTACGGAGTTTAGACAACAGCTCGCCTGCAACCGTCACCTGGAAGGTCATCGGAGTTGCGGCGTTGCCCGCGGAATCCTGTGCCGTGCAGGTGACATTTGTGCTCCCCACGGGAAAGAGGCTGCCGGATGAGGGGATGCAAGTGGGCACGACCCTGTCGCAGTCGTCGGAAACCTCCACCGCGAAGAATACCTGGGCAGCCTCACCGCAAGTTGCAGCATCACTGATGTCAGCAAGCTGAGTGATGACAGGTGGGGTGGTGCCACGCACCGTCACTTGGAAGGTCATGGGAGTGGCGGCATTGCCCGATACATCTTGCGCTGTGCATGTGACATTCGTGGTGCCCAGAGCAAAACTACTCCCGGACAGGGATGTGCAATTGGGCACAACACTGTCACAGTTGTCGGACACCTCCACTGCGAAGGATACCTGAGCAGTCTGGCCGCATGTTGTAACCTGGATGATGTCCGAGAAGCTGTTGCTCAAGACCGGGGGTTCTGCATCCTTCACCTCTGTCTCGAAGCTGAAAGTGTAGCCCGAAGCTGAAAGTGAGATCCGAGCTCTGGCACGAGATTTGGTTACTGCCCAGCGGCAAAGGCGCAGAGGGGCTGCAGGTGTAGGTCACGCCGGGAATGCAGGCGTCGATGAAGGGGACCTGAGACGAGGCGCATGTCCCCGCATCGGTGGGGAGCTCTTTCAGGATCGTGGCGTTGCAAGTGGCCAGTTCATCCACCCAAATGCCGTCGCTGTTGTCATTGCTGGACACATATGCTGTTCCTGAGTCAGAAATAGCATTGAAGCTTGCCGTGGAAGTCAACCTCAGAGTTTCCGAGTCATCGTAGAGCCGGGCGACCACGTCGGTTGCCGACCTAACCTGGATTAAGAGCTGTAGCCACTGATCTTCGAGACCATGAACACTGTCACTCCTGGTAACATTCGTCGAAGCTGGTTGGTTGGGCTCTTCCGCGAACACCAAGTCCAACTCGCCGGAAGAGTTGCAATATGACCTTACATAAAGCGCTTTGGTAACGGACAACGCAGGATCTGTGTCAAATCCAACTGCAGCATTCGCAGAACCAACCCTCGTACGCGTTGGCACCCAGACCCAAGCCCGCAGGGTGGTCCCCACGCGGCTGGTGACGGGGAACGATGGCGATCTCCAGATCGCCCCAAAAAGATTCGGGCGAACAGAAGTCGCCGTGCCCTGGGCGCTTGGCTCCCCGGGCGACAGAAAAGAAATCAAACCGGTAGGCAGTTTTCGCCGAATCGGCTTCTGGCCACGTGCGGTTCTCGAAGGACTCGAAGACGGTGTAGCCCGAAGCCTTTCGGGCAGAGCTGCTTTCAGCGCTAGTCAAGGCCAGGGAAGCTGCCTCCCCTGTCTTCGGCTGTCCTGACAGGGTCTGCTCC